CACAAGGTCCTTACCTGCTTAGGTGATATGTGATCAAGTTAGAAACAGTTGGCAAAAGTGGTATTTCAGGGTCTGCCTCTGAGAGGCCAGGGTCATTAAACTAGGATTCATAAATCCTAATAAAGGAGATCCATGAAATCTCAGAAATAGTATGGGATATTCTGTGCTTACGGGTATTCTTCTGGAGCATGGGTCTATGACCTTCATAATTCTCACTTCCTTTCTCTCGCTGTCTCTCTTCTTCCTCTTTTCCTCCCTCCCTTACTTTTTTTGTCTCTGCATTTTCTTCATAAAGACCTAAGGCCTTAAACATTCTCAGCAAGTCAAATGGCTGATCCTTATCAAGTCACTTACTTTCTGCAGGATCCTTATCAAGTCACTTACCTACTTGCTAGGTATGATTTTGTGTGCACACATAGAGTTTGAAGTCTTATGTTAACATGATTATTCTTTATTATAATTATTAAAACAAGGAAGGTCAATGAAAATCTTAACTCTCATTTAAACTTAGTTTGTTCTTTCTGCACCACACTTGTCTCGTGTTTCACTGTTTCCTTGTACTGTTGTTAACCACTGTGAAATGATTTTAGAATGAGCGGTGGATATTTTGGTAGATAATTTGGGGTGGAGAGCAAAAAATGAAATGATTTCAGGTTGCATTCCAATCCTATGTTACTCTCACAATGAAATCTACCTTTTCTGTGCAATCCACGAAGCTGACATTCTTTCCAGCATCATTTTATCTTCTCAAACCCAGAGTCCATCTTTGCTGCCAAGGTCAACAGATGTTGACCAAGCCCCCAATATATACCAACCCCGTGTACTAGGAGAACCGAAAGAGGATTTCAGGGCTCCTACTCTTAAACTTACATCCCACGTGTTCATGAAAAGACACTCATCACCATTCTCCATCAGGGAAATGTAAATTGAAAAGCACAATGAAATACCCATTGACATTCACTGGAATGGCTATAATAAAAAAGGTAGGCGATAACAACTGTCAACAAGGATGGATGTGGAGAAATCAGAGCCATCAGACATTGCTGGCGGGGATGTAAAACGGTGCAGCCATTTTGGAAAAACAGTTTGGCAGTTCCTCAAAGAGTTAAACATAGGGTTACCACATGTGTCCATAATGTTACTCCTCGCTATATATCCATGAGAAATAAACTCATGTCCATACAAAAACCCAGATGTGAATGTTCATAACACATTATTTCTAATAGACACAAAGCAGAATCAACCCAGATGTCCATCGACTGTGAATGGAGAAAGAAGATGCTGTATATCACAGCACCAAGGCAGGGGAAACTGAGATAGTACTTACTGGTGAGAGGGTGCCTGGGGAATCTGTATTCTCCACTCAGTTTTTCTATAAACTTAAATTTCCTTTTAAAAAAAAGTCTATTTAATAATGTGGGTTATCAACATAACAGAATGTTATGGATCCAAATACATGCTAGATGGATGAACCTTGAAAACATTATGCTAAACGAAAGAAGCCAAACACCCAAGGCCGCATATTGTGTGACTAACTCCCTTTGCATGTGCCACCCAAACAGGCTGACCCATAGACAGAGACTAGGTACGTGGTTGCCAGGGGCCGGGGGAGGGAGAGTGTGCAAGTGACTGCTCCCGGGAACAGGGTTTCTTTTGGGAGTGATACAAATGTTCAGGAATTAGTGGTGATGTTGCACCACGTTTTGAATAGGCTAAAACCCACTGAATTGTGCACTTCCAAGGTGTGGATGTTAAAGCACGTGAATTATATGTCAATATTAAGAGGATGGCTGAGCTGGGGGAGGGAGGGAGGCAGGTCTTGTCCTTGGGTCCTGAGGGGAAGTCAAATTTTGCCACCCCAAATATGCCTTTTGGGGAAATTATTTTAAGCTGGTTATTTTTAAAGAACCAAAAGAGTCAAGAAGAGCCTTTTTCTTTGTCACTCACTCACCTGCCAAAAGGAATCTGCAAAGAAAAATCTGCTTTTTCAGGAAGCTATCACCTTGGTATGATATAAACTGAGTGTGGCAGACAGGGAGAAAGTTGCAAAGTCTGTTTGTTAGACTCCCATCTGTGTCCCATGGTTTCTGGGTGGCCTGGCAAGAATTTGTTTAACAAATATTTGCTCCTTTTCATATACCTGTGAATTGCTTACTTCCCCTTTGAAGCCCTCTTCTTTGTCCGGAAGTGCACAAAAGCCTCAGCTGCCTGCTTTGTCCAGGGGGTCCATATGCTTAAGAAACGCCCATTTGTACATTTGTTAATACGATTGGTTGTTTTCTCCTGTTAATCTGTCTCATGTCAATTTGATTATCAGACCAGCCAGAAGCATGTAGAAGAGTAGAAGAAAAATTGTTTTTCCTCCCACACAGTACACAAGGTAATGGTTTTATTTCTTGTCTATAATTACATGACATGCTTCACCTCACTGCCTCTAAGTATTGAGGATACCCACTTCCCTTTTTACCATATCCATCTTCCTTTTTTCATATGCCGTCTTCCCCACTGCGTATCATTCCTTTTCTTTTTTTTATATGATTCCAAAGCTATCGATTATTAACAAATTCATCACGACTGTCATTTATCAGGAGCCCAGGAAAGAGGGGACTTCTTTTCCACACAGTTTAAGTTTTGCTCTGAGATTAAATGACACTCTCTTTGGTTGACTAAGTGCAAGATGAAGAATAGTCCATTAAGATGTGCTGTGCACATCAATTATTCAGGAGGAACAAAAGTTGACAGAGATGGAAGAGGATGCCAGCCCTCCCAATGGAAAAGGACACCTGCCAAGCTTTGCCTCCATTGAAATAAAGCTGTCTATAGCTCCCTGTACAGTAATGTCATTACAAACAAAAGTTAGAAGACAAATGTAAGGAATGAGGACCCATGCAGGCTACTAATCTGTCTTTTCAGGTTCATAAATATGTATAGGATAACTGTGAGTGTTAAAGAAAATAATGTGATAGAGAAGTTGTCTCACAATGCCAGTGCCCATGTCTTTTTACTGTAAGGTTAGAAATTCAGTTCTACTAAAACTATTTGCTCATTTACTATATATATTTCTGAGATATAAAATATTTACTTATATATTACAAATTCTGAAAATTAACCTTTTCTAATATTCATGGTATTTCATCCAATACAATAATGATCTCTATTTCATTGAATAGTTTTAGTATTTTGTAATCCTTGAATACATATACACACAAACACACACACACACACACACACACACACACACACACACATACACGCACACACATACCAGGAATATTGGTTAATGCGAATCTTTTTTTCAATAGATGGAACTACACATATGTTGATATATATGTGATTTGATATATATGCTATTTTGTTGTATTGACAACAAGCTTCAAAACTTCATATGTCAAATTTTCTGAAAGTGATAACATCATAGATATTTTTATGCTTAAAAATGTAGAATTTATGGCCAAAAAAAGAGCATTTGTGGGAAGTTTTAATTCATTACTTTATTTTGAAGAAAAGTGTTGCTAAACGTTATTGTATACTTTGGGAAGCTTATGGTAAACATGCTCCATCTCAAGATTCTTGTGAACACTGGTTTAAATGCTTTAAAAGTGATGATTTAGATGGGAAAGACAAAGAATGCCAAAGACAACCGGAAAAGTTTGAATACCAAAAATTACAAGCATTATTGGATGAAGATGCGTGTCAAACTCAAAAACAACTTGCAGAAAGATTAAACGTTGCTCAGCAAACAATTTCTGATCATTTACAAGCAATGGGAAAGATTTTAAAGGAAGGAAAACGGGTGCCACATCAACTGAATGAGAGACAAGTGGAAAACGGAAAAGTCATCAGTAAAATGTTGCTTCCGTGGCATGAAAGAAAAGTCTTTTTTGCATGGAATAGTGACTGGAAATAAAAAGTGGATTTATTTTGAGAATCCCAGACTCACAAAATCATGAATTGATCCAGGTCAACCATCAATATGAACTACAAAGGCAAGTCGCTCCGGAAAGACAATGCTCTGCATTTGGTGGGATCAGGAAGGTGTAGTATATTTTGAGCTTCAAAAACCAGGTGAAACCATTAATACTGATCGCTACCGACAACACATCATCAATTAGAACCACACTTTGATCATAACACAACCAGAATGGGCCAGAAGACATGGCAAAGTACTTTTGCTTCATGATGACGCACCATCATATACTTCAAAACTAGTGAAAGACAGGTTAAAAGATCCTGCCTGGGAAGTATTAACCCACCCGCCATATTCACCAGCCCTTGCTCCTTCAGATTACCACTTATTCTGATCAATGACACTCGCACTTTCTGAGCAACACTTCAAAACGTACGAAAAAGTGGAAAATTGGGCCTCTGAATGGTTTGCCTCAAAACAAGAAAAGTTCTATTGGGACGGTATCTGCAAGTTACCTGAAAGATGGGGGAAATGTGTAGCTAGCGATGGACATTACTTTGAATAAAGCACTTCTGATGTTTCTTTTGAAATTATCATGTTTTCTTTGATTGGAAAATCCACATTAATAACCGGTACAATTGGTACATATAATATCATATTCATATTTCTATCTTTAAAAGCAAATAAAATAACCAGGTTTGCAAGTATGCTCAGCCCTAAAGATCTGCATCAAGCTAACCTCATTTTTTCATAATTTGTGGTCACTTTAGATGGTAACATTTTAATATAATTTATGTTGGGATTAATTATAGCGTTTAAATGTCTACTAGATCATCCAGTTTACATTTCTTCAACGTTGCTCCATCTTCTATGTCTTTATAATGTGCTCATATCACTATAATGTCTCAAGTTTTAACAACTAGTGTAGAAAAATATTCCACTCCTGGTCCCACATCCTTTTTGAAAACAGATGTTTCTGGGTTCTAGGCGCAGCATTAGTGTTCCCTGTCTTGACATACAGGTGTTTCGTTTCAAGTGTGAAATCACCACAGTCATACTACGCTGATCACAACATACGTATAAGCGCATTTACCTGGCTTCACAAGGCCTGACTTGGGTTCCTTCTTATATCGAGCTGACTGGATGCTTCCCTCGCCAACCATTCCAACTGTGCATTTCTTCCTGGTAAAGTCTTCATCACTTCCAGGGCGAAAGCCAACAGGACTGTTTCCAGTATCCGAGGGCGTCTTCACAGGAGACACGGACTGGCTACTAGGGCAGCCAGTGTCATCTGGAAGACAGGAACCAAGAAGTGTTCAGTGCGGAGGAGGAAACCAATGATAGCCGAGAGAAACATACAGTGAGCCATGCACATATGCGCTCATGCACGCGTGTACACACAGCCACACACACACACACACACACACTTTCCTTATCAAGCCCCAAGCTAACGTGGGTGTACATAATAATAAAACAGGACCACACACACACACACACACACACACACACACTTTCCTTATCAAGTGTGTGTGTGTGTGTGTGTGTGTGTGTGACTGTGTGTACAAGCGTGCATATTATGTAAATGACTCTCGTTTTGTTTTCCATATTTTGGTCAATCATTTTAATAGAGAAAATATCAATGATCTAACCAAAAAACTTACATGCATATATGCATAACCCATGGACACAGACAATAGTGTAATAAAGGCCTTAGGGGGAGATGGGTGTGGGATGGAGGGGGTTGATGGGGAATTGGACATTTGTAATACTTTCAACAATAAAGATAAATAAAATAAAAATATCAATGATCAAAAAACACATTTTAAAGCAATACCTTATAAGCTTTTTGGATCTCAAATATTTCTGTAACATTCATGCTCTCAAAACCTAAAGGTTTGTCTCTTTTTAACACATTAGGTAATCTATGTTTGGGTTATAAACGGCCATGGATTTTTGATGGGGTTAGTAAAAATTCAGCACAGCAACCTGAATCATTAATGGGAATGCTTTGGAGTTGTCTGTGTTAGGAAAAAAAGTGACTTAACTATTATTGACCACACCCAGTTTTTGATCACTAACTTGGCCCCTCATTTGGTTAACAGGATGAGAGATAAAGAGAGCCGGCATTGTGAGTTCTAGGAAGCAGAGAGAAGTGGTCCTGTTTTATTATTATGTACACCCAAAAGTATATTGATTAGTATCTTGTTGTCTGGGGTAAATAGGTAAAATGAATTTTGATGCTCAAAACAGTTCTCTTAACTTTCAAGTTACAGATTATTACCACTGTCATTATTATAAATTAATATGCATGATGGGAAGTGACCTGTGTAGACACTTATTCAGCAAACATGAAAGTTGTGCTGCTGACTCCTATAAGTGCTTTCCACACTTATTAAATATTTATGATGGTTGGCTAATTCATATATACTTGGATGAGGAGAACTTTATGGGAATTTAATGCAAATCAATATTACTTAAAAGTATGTCCACTCAAACTAATCAACCAGTGGTCATTTTCATTACTAAATATATCTTTGTTATACAAACATATTTTGATGCCAGAGTTACCTTAGCAACTAGTTAGACAAAAAAAAAAAAAAAAAAGACACTTAGTACAACTTTTAGAAGTATTACATTTTTATGAATATTAAAGGAACTAAAAATAAAGTTCCATCTATGAAAATCTATCATAAAACTCCATAGCTTGACTAAAGACAGAAATAGAACTAAGCCTGAATAAAATCTACTGATGGCCTGAATTTAGAATCCATCCAAAGAGAGCTGCCATTGCTTCATTTTTGGCCTTCATTTAAGTTTTTATTATGAAATAGCCTAGTTCCTGGAATAAGTGAACTTGGAACTAGTAAAATGATTTATTTCTCCTAATATCCTTTTTAAAAAACAAAACAAAAACAAAAACACTTTTGGATATAGTGTACATAGGACCTCAATAGTCCACTTCTGGAAGTGAATGGTGCTTGGTGCATTGTCCATGCCTGCTGCCTTTGCTGCTCTTTGCAATGTGCTGTGTTCTTCCTGAACTCCTGGATTACAGAGTGCTGGGAACCCCTCTTGGCTGCTACTGCTCAGCTATTTCATGGCTTATTGTCCCTGCCTCTCTCTTTTCCATTTGCAGGTCCCGTGTTTCACCCCGAAGAAATCTGAGCTCCTTCTCTGAAGGTACGAAGCCATTACTCAGACGGATTCCAGAGCTTTGACAAGGCTCAACAGGTCTGGACGTCACCTCAGAAGAGTCTCTCCTTGAGTCCTCTCCAAAAGAAGATAAACCCAAAGAAATGAGGCCTAATCATTCAAAATTACCCACTGCCTTGAAAGCCATTTCTTTATGAGTCAGTTCCATAAAATACTTCTTTAGAAAGAGAGATGGCCCAAGTAAATAGAAATCCATGCTTCAGATTTTCGACCCTAAAAAGTAATTTTTTTCTGGGGAAAAAAAAATCTTAGCCTCAAAGTGACACTATTATGCAATTGCTGGTATTGAGAAACTATGTAAATATGCTTCAAGTAAACAGAAAGCATATGTGTTCTGTTTGGTTCTATTACTATTCTTGTTAAAGTTAAATAGGAGTATGTTCGCACCATGTCTTCAGTGCTAGTAATGTCAAGGATGAAGTGCTTGGGTCTTCTTAAAAACCAGAGGCCCCAATGCACAAAATTTGTGCAGGGAGGGCGTGGTGTCCCTAAACCCAGCTTGCACCCTCTCTAATCTGGGATCCCTCTCACAATCTTGGACTGCTGGCTCCTAACCACTCGCCTGCCTGCCTGATTGCCCCTAACCACTTTGCCTGCCAGCTAGATAGCCCGCTAACTGCTCCCCTGCTGACCTGATTGACACCTAACTACTCCCCTGCCAGCATGATTGTCTCCAACTGCCTTCCCCTACTGGCCCAATTGTCCCCAACTGCCTTCCCCTGTGGGGCTGAGGGGGCTGGGAAGCTGAGGCTGAATAAGGCAGGGCTGAGGGGACTGGGCACATCCATAGCCATGAAAATCCATGAGTTAGAGAAGCTGGGGCATTTGCCTGTTTTGTCTAGCGGGACCAACACTCACAAAGGAATCTGGCTTTGCAAAGGGCAGGGCCATACATTTTCCTACCACGAAGAGCACACTTCAAGTTATGCAAAGGAAGGCCAAAGCCAGAGCAACAGAACTTCCCATACGGGAGGGCTATCTCATCACCAGTGACACCTGCGGTATTTTCCTCCTCGCAGCACTGAAGGAGTGGTGATTTTTTTCAACGTCATGTCTAAGGCCTCCTTTCCACTCTCCCCCTTCCCTCTTCTTCCTCCTACTCTTTTTTTTTTTTTTTTATCTTCCTGGTCACAGTTGGAAGCTGATCACCAGTCCAGATAAAGATCATTGTCCTTTCCAAAAGTCTATGTATGCCGAGAATAGTGGAGACAAGTTGATGTTCTCTGGCTGCTCAGGCTTAATCTACCATGAGCCGAGCTGCGTGTGGATCAAGCACATATTGAAGAGATTTATTTCTTGAACCGGCTTGGGATAAACCCTTTGCCCTTGCCTTGTTTCTTGCTGCTACCTTGATTCCTGAATTCGTCCTGTAGAATCCAGAGATTTAGAAACACGGCATTTATAATGATAGGTTTTGTTAGTTAGGTTTGTGTAAAGAATTTATCAGTGAAAAGTAGTTCTACCAGGATTCCACTAGGCAACTGACTGTGGGCAGAAATCCAGAATGATCTACCCCCAAAGTGTGAGTTGTTCCTCATTTCCTGAAGAGTGCCAGAGAAAAGCACGAGCATTTTAGTCTGGTTTTGGCACAAGGACTTGAGGAAAAGGGTACAGAAGGCTGTCTGCATTGGAGAGGGAGAAGCTTTTTTGTTTTTGATTTTAAACACATAGAAGCACGTGTGCACACATCCACTCACACACCAGCTCTTACATGGCTGAGTTTTTACACTTCTTTCTCTGTTATTCATGGTAAGAATAACTCCACACACACACACACACACACACACACACACACACACACACACACCAGAACCACATTCTATACTTTATACAATGTGTGATACATTTAAAAATACAGGATGATTTTTTTCATGGGGTCATCATTTAAAATCTCACTTACAGGGGCCACTGGTGAAACTTAGGTAAAAATGAGCCTCATCAAGGCCACACCTAAAGGACCACTATCTACAGTGAAGGTGACACATTTACGTGTCTTCCCTGATTGACATTAAGGGATAAGTTATTTTGCTGTTGTTGTCCTTGTTTATTTGCTTTGAACCTGTCAATATGCAGGACTGAGAATAATAGAAAAATATTCCCAGATCCAGGAACCCCCAGAAGTTGAGGTCTGACTAAAGTGTGGCAAGAGATATACCTACTCCCTTGTTTCCAAACTGTTGTTAAAGGGAAAAAATGTAAGGTCTATAAAGACAGTTGGGAAAACCAGGCACCACTCATATGTGGAATCAAATGGACAAAATAAATTGATGAACAAAATAGATCCAGAGACACAGAAGCATAGAACAGACTAATGAATCTCAGAGGGAAGTGGGGGCAGGTGGGTGGGTGGGGAGAGATTAACCAAAGAACTTATGTGCCTAGATGCATAACCCAGGGACAGAGACAATAGTATGAAGGCTTGTGGGGGTATTGGTACAGGGTGTGGGTGTGGGTGGAGGGGGTCAAAGAGAGGAAAAAGAGGGACATCTGTAATACTTTCAATAAGAAAGAGAATATTTAAAAATTGCTTATCTATTTTTCCTCTTTGCATACATTACAGCTTTTTAAAAACATGGGGTATAATTACTCCATTTACAGTTCTGAAAAAGGTATGCATAAGTATCTTTTAAAATAATTTCAATTTTATTTTAAATGCAGTAGAAGAACTTATTAGTAAAGAAAATCTGTTGGGGTTGTTAAAATTTTAACTTACATAATCTTTTTATTGTAAAAGTAATAATTCTCATTGTGGAAAATCCGGAGTGCAGAAAAGTGCAAAGAGCTAAAGGAAAAATAAAGAGGTAGTATTTTCCTATAATAGTACTAGCAACAAAAATATTTAACCATTTGGATATTCTTATTAATCTTTTCTTAGATCCATATGGCTGTATCTGGTTGCTTGCTTTTTGTTTTGCTAAAATTTCAACATATATTATAGACAGTTTTATTACTCTGCTACTGACCATTTCTCCCTGGAATTTGTTAGGCTAGAAAGCAAGCTATTAATGACTAACAGGAGCCAACACAAAGGGGTCCCAGTTGGCCAAAGATGGAATAATTTGGGCATGAAAAAGAATA